TGTAGCACGGTGTGCTAGGTTTTCTGCCTTCACTGGGTGGTTTAGATGATATGTAACATGGAACATTGTGTCTGCTCTGTTTCCAGACGGTATTGCAGCAGCGGTCCAAGACTGAACGACCCTACAAACTATGAGGGAACCCCCGGTGGTAGAGGCCCCCGCCCCGCCCCCGCCCCGCCCCAGGACCCTGCACCCAACCACCGCTCTGCAGCAGAGGTAACTCTGGGTCTTCCTTTCCTGTGGCGGTCCTCATGCGAGCCAGTTTCATCATAGCGCTTGATGGTTTTTGTGACTGCACTTGAAGAAACTTTCAAAGTTCTTAAAAATATTCCGGATTGACTGACCTTCATGTCTTAAAGTAATGATGGACTGTCATTTCTCTTTGCTTTTCTTGCCATAATATGGACTTGGTCTTTTACCGAATAGGGCTTTCTTCTGTATACCACCCCTACCTTGTCACAACCCAACTGATTGGCTCAAACGCATTAAGAAGGAAATACATTCCACAAATTAACTTTTAAGAAGGCACACCTGTTAATTGAAATGCATTCCAGGTGACTACCTCATGAAGCTAGTTGAGAGAATGCCAAGAGTGTGCAAAGCTGTCATCAAGGCAAAGGGTGGCTACTTTGAAGAATTTCAAATATAAAATATATTTTGATTTGTTTAACACTTTCTTTTGGTTACTACATGATTCCATATGTGTTATTTTATAGTTTTGATGTCTTCACTATTATTCTACAATGTAGAAAATAGTAAAAATAAAGAAAAACCCTTGAATGAGTAGGTGTGTCCAAACTTTTGACTGGTACTGTATATCAACGTGGGATATTTGTAACACTTTTCTGGGATGCTTGATTGTTTTTCTTGCTTTACTGAGAAGCTTAGCAGAGGTTGACATGCCCAGGTTATTTATGTTAGTGCAGGGTGAGCTGCACACAGCGGACTTCCTCCTAGGGCACACCGCCTCAGTGCTAACAGTATAACTCTGGTTCATAGGCACATGATTACTGCATCCAATAGCTGTAGGATCAGCAGAGGCATTCAGGTTAGTTAGAGGGACATAAATTAGGTTACTTACATTGTGTCTTCCAACGCCCCTGGGATAACGTACATTTGCTGAAGCATTATGACAACTAATTGACACAAAGATAGGGATTAAATGAGCTGGGCTTGGGTCATTGATAAGTCATTGTCTCAACGCAGCCTTATAATGCTGTGAAAGGATCCAGGAACCCAAATGATTTGGGTGGATCCCATCCTCCTTATAATACGAGCTTTGTTTCCAGAAGGAATCAAAATTGTCAATAAATGTTACACCCACAGAGCTGCAATAGTCTCGTAGCCAGTTATGGAGGGCTAAAAGTCTGCTGAACCGTTCAATGCCATGATTTAGGGAGGGCAGAGGGCCAGATATTATGGGGCGTTTGTTGGTGTCAGGTAGAGACCCAATCAGTTTAATCAGACCAGAGAATCTTATTTCTCATGGTCTGAGAGTCCTTTAGGTGCCTTTTGGCAAACTCCAAGCGGGCTGTCATGTGCCTTTTACTGAGGAGTGGCTTCGGTCTGGCCACTCTACCATAAAGGCCTGATTGGTGGAGAGCTGCAGAGGAGATGGTTGTCCTTCTGGAAGGTTCTCCCATCTCCACAGAGGAACTCTGGAGCTCTGTCAGAGTGACCATCGGGTTCTTGGTCACCTCCCTGACCAAGGCCCTTCTCCCCCGATTGCTCAGTTTGGCCGGGCGGCCAGCTCTAGGAAGAGTCTTGGTGGTTCCAAACTTCTTCCATTTAAGGATGATGGAGGCCACTGTGTTCTTGGGGACCTTCAATGCTGCAGAAATGTTTTGGTACCCGAGCTCAATTTCGAGTCTCATATCAAAGGGTCTGAATACTTATGTAAATAAGGTATTTCTGTTGTTAAAAAAAAATATTTAGCAAAAATTTCTAAAAACATGTTTTCAATTTGTCATTATGGGGTATTGTGTGTAGATTGATGAGGATTTTCTTTCAATTTAATCAATTTTAGAATCATGCTGTAACGTAACAAAATGTGGAAAAAGTCAAGGGGTCTGAATACTTTCCGAAAGCACTGTATATCCACAAAATGAGCCTGAGGGGGGAGGTGAGGCGTGAATAGGGATCGGTCTCATTTACTAAGGGGGGGGGGGGGGGGGGGGGGGGGAGAGGGGACAGTTAGGACAAATAATGCTGATTTTATTTGTTCTCTATTGTTTTTAGTTTCTTTACATATGTACTTTTTAACATTATCGCCTGTCTGTGATCTGAACCTGTCACAATTTTTAAAAATAAGTTGCTAAAAATGTTTAATAACAAATAAGATATGGGCCCTATAGTAAATTCTATTCAATTCAGATGAAAAAGTTAGATGAAAAAGTGAAGGTAAGATGTACGCATTCCAAAATGTTTGACCCCACATATCTAATCAAAATGTAAATTCCTGAAGCCTTCTGATCTCGCATTTAGGGCGTTCCTGTATGTGGCCATTCCTGCATCGGCAGAAACCCCTCTTTATACTCATTTATATTGGTCCATTTTTAAACTATGACTCGGGCGGGAGGCGGGGGCGCTCCAGTACAGTAGGGGGTGGTAATGCACCATAACATTGGATGCCAACCACCAATAAACCCCACAGAAGAAGAGGTGAGGTGGCCAGCTAGCTAGCTAGCACACCGGTAGACCGTGTACTTCGACACCACCTGTCGGAGACTGTTTTCCCAGAGTTTTGTTAACGACGACTAGGGCAGGCATTAGCGAAGGACACTGGGTGCTAGCTAGGACTCTGGTACACGTCAGGCGGGATAGGTAGTTATCTAGCTAATGATAGCTATGACACTGGTAGTCAGTGTCCTTCGCCCCAGCCTGTCGGCACTGCTTTCCCGCAGTTCTGTTAACGACGGTGAGGGAAAGTGTTCGGTAGGCGGGAGCGAAGGACACTGTGCCAACATGTTGTCTAGCTAGCAGGACTCCAGTACACGGGAGGCGGGGGTGACACTGGTAGCTAGCTAGCTAGGACACCGGTACACAGTGTCCTTCGCCCCCCCAAACATTCTGATAATACTTTTATTTCCCTTTTGACCCACAATTTAATCGCATAGACAATCAGGGGAAATCCAGAATATCAAAAGTGAAGCATGAAGATGGCATGCTCGAGGGGGGCGTTCCTGCAGGAACCAATAGGATGCTTGAGGGGGGGGGGGCGTCCATGCAGGAACCAATAGGATGCTTGAGGGGGGGGGGGGGGCGTTCATGCAGGATCCAATGGGATGCTGGAGTGGAGTGGAGTTCCCACATGCAGGAACGCCCCGAATTGCGGGCCGCAATCTCACACTATTGGATCTCACAGCCTGCTGAAATCCTCCTCGCTGGTCATGTGTTCCCGGGATGACCGATTACTCCGGACGGTGCATTCAAACTGTGGACAACAGTCATCGAAAGTAGCTGCTCTGAGGACGAGGAAGTCTCCACCGTTTTACTTAATAGGTTAACGGGGGAAACCTATATTATTTACCTATAGAAACATACATGAAATAGTTGAACCTCTCCAACCAGAACAATGATTTCCCCGTGGGACCGCTGGTATACCACTAGCTGCTGCCTCTGCTGCCATGTTCGGACGGGCACCGTTATCCTGGGGATATGGTATATGGTAGGAGAAATCATTTTATTACTATAATATAAGCTATAAAAGTAGGCTACTGTGAAATGCGCCTATGGCCGGGCCGATTGTGAATCATGTCACGGAATGTGTTGTGTTGTCATTCTCAACAAAGGAAAGAATAAATGATACATATTGAAAGCCTTCTCTCGTCGTTCAGCGGTCGGCAGTGGCACGGTTCTTCAGTCTTCATTGCAATATCATTGGCCATTTGTCATGTCCTTCACAAAGCCACAGTGTATTGGGTTACGGTTGTCATGTATCAATTTACTTTCACCAAGTAGCCGCTAGAATGTTCCAGTCCAGATCTGATACATTTTATCAACCGATATCATTTTGGATTTATTGAGCAGCGTCCATGACGTCGACATTTTATTTGTAATTTCTCCAACATGTCAATAATCGTTTGAGCTATTGTCGGAGTTGACTTCTGTTTTTAGAAAGAGGATTGTTCATACGTCTTAAAATAGCTCTGGTGGAGATCAACATTAAAGCAGTCTCCGTGCACAGTTTGCTATGTTGTTGATGTAACGTTGTACTCTGGACGAAAAAAGTATCCAAACAAATCCACTGACACAGATCCGATAAAGACATGGAGACATCTTCTAGATGATCTTTAATTCACTGTACTGTTCCTTTGCCACCACAACGTACTGCAGTCCCACTGGGTAAATGATGGCTGAACGAACGTTGTTTCCATGTCATTTCAACAACAACAACAAATCAATGTGATGACGTTAATCAACGTGGAAAACTGATTGGATTTACAAAAAGTCATCAACATAAAGACATTTCGTCTTTTTTTCCACCTAACTTTTACCTAAAATCCAATAACATGGTGCAATTTTTTGTTGATTTCAAGTTAGTTTACAACTCAAACACATTTTTATAAAAACTAGATGTTGAGCTGACCTCTGTGCCCGGTGGGGTGATGTTGAGCTGACCTCTGTGCCCGGTGGGGTGATGTTGAGCTGACCTCTGTGCCCGGTGGGGTGATGTTGAGCTGACCTCTGTGCCCGGTGGGGTGATGTTGAGCTGACCTCTGCCCGGTGGGGTGATGTTGAGCTGACCTCTGTGCCCGGTGGGGTGATGTTGAGTTGACCTCTGTGCCCGGTGGGGTGATGTTGAGCTGACCTCTGTGCCCGGTGGGGTGATGTTGAGCTGACCTCTGCCCGGTGGGGTGATGTTGAGCTGACCTCTGCCCGGTGGGGTGATGTTGAGCTGACCTCTGTGCCCGGTGGGGTGATGTTGAGCTGACCTCTGCCCGGTGGGGTGATGTTGAGCTGACCTCTGTGCCCGGTGGGGTGATGTTGAGCTGACCTCTGTGCCCGGTGGGGTGATGTTGAGCTGACCTCTGCCCGGTGGGGTGATGTTGAGCTGACCTCTGTGCCCGGTGGGGTGATTGTTGAGCTGACCTCTGTGCCCGGTGGGGTGATGTTGAGCTGACCTCTGTGCCCGGTGGGGTGATGTTGAACTGACCTCTGTGCCCGGTGGGGTGATGTTGAGCTGACCTCTGTGCCCGGTGGGGTGATGTTGAGCTGACCTCTGTGCCCGGTGGGGTGATGTTGAGCTGACCTCTGTGCCCGGTGGGGTGATGTTGAACTGACCTCTGCCCGGTGGGGTGATGTTGAGCTGACCTCTGCCCGGTGGGGTGATGTTGAGCTGACCTCTGCCCGGTGGGGTGATGTTGAGCTGACCTCTGTGCCCGGTGGGGGTGATGTTGAGCTGACCTCTGTGCCCGGTGGGGTGATGTTGAACTGACCTCTGCCCGGTGGGGTGATGTTGAGCTGACCTCTGCCCGGTGGGGTGATGTTGAGCTGACCTCTGCCCGGTGGGGTGATGTTGAGCTGGACCTCTGCCCGGTGGGGTGATGTTGAGCTGACCTCTGCCCGGTGGGGTGATGTTGAGCTGACCTCTGCCCGGTGGGGTGATGTTGAGTTGACCTCTGCCCCGGGTGGGGTGATGTTGAGCTGACCTCTGCCCGGTGGGGTGATGTTGAGCTGACCTCTGCCCGGTGGGGTGATGTTGAGCTGACCTCTGCCGGTGGGGTGATGTTGAGCTGACCTCTGCCCGGTGGGGTGATGTTGAGCTGACCTCTGCCCGGTGGGGTGATGTTGAGCTGACCTCTGTGCCCGGTGGGGTGATGTTGAGCTGACCTCTGTGCCCGGTGGGGGTGATGTTGAGCTGACCTCTGTGCCCGGTGGGGTGATGTTGAACTGACCTCTGTGCCCGGTGGGGTGATGTTGAGCTGACCTCTGTGCCCGGTGGGGTGATGTTGAGCTGACCTCTGTGCCCGGTGGGGTGATGTTGAACTGACCTCTGCCCGGTGGGGTGATGTTGAGCTGACCTCTGCCCGGTGGGGTGATGTTGAGCTGACCTCTGCCCGGTGGGGTGATGTTGAGCTGACCTCTGTGCCCGGTGGGGTGATGTTGAGCTGACCTCTGTGCCCGGTGGGGTGATGTTGAGCTGACCTCTGTGCCCGGTGGGGTGATGTTGAACTGACCTCTGCCCGGTGGGGTGATGTTGAGCTGACCTCTGCCCGGTGGGGTGATGTTGAGCTGACCTCTGCCCGGTGGGGTGATGTTGAGCTGACCTCTGTGCCCGGTGGGGTGATGTTGAGCTGACCTCTGTGCCCGGTGGGGTGATGTTGAACTGACCTCTGCCCGGTGGGGTGATGTTGAGCTGACCTCTGCCCGGTGGGGTGATGTTGAGCTGACCTCTGCCCGGTGGGGTGATGTTGAGCTGACCTCTGCCCGGTGGGGTGATGTTGAGCTGACCTCTGCCCGGTGGGGTGATGTTGAGTTGACCTCTGCCCGGTGGGGTGATGTTGAGCTGACCTCTGCCCGGTGGGGTGATGTTGAGCTGACCTCTGCCCGGTGGGGTGATGTTGAGCTGACCTCTGCCCGGTGGGGTGATGTTGAGCTGACCTCTGCCCGGTGGGGTGATGTTGAGCTGACCTCTGCCCGGTGGGGTGATGTTGAGCTGACCTCTGCCCGGTGGGGTGATGTTGAGCTGACCTCTGCCCGGTGGGGGTGATGTTGAGCTGACCTCTGCCCGGTGGGGTGATGTTGAGCTGACCTCTGCCCGGTGGGGTGATGTTGAGCTGACCTCTGTGCCCGGTGGGGTGATGTTGAGCTGACCTCTGTGCCCGGTGGGGTGATGTTGAGCTGACCTCTGCCCAGTGGGGTGATGTTGAGCTGACCTCTGCCCGGTGGGGTGATGTTGAGCTGACCTCTGCCCGGTGGGGTGATGTTGAGCTGACCTCTGCCCGGTGGGGTGATGTTGAGCTGACCTCTGCCCGGTGGGGTGATGTTGAGCTGACCTCTGCCCGGTGGGGTGATGTTGAGCTGACCTCTGCCCGGTGGGGTGATGTTGAGCTGACCTCTGCCCGGTGGGGTGATGTTGAGCTGACCTCTGCCCGGTGGGGTGAGCCTACTGGAGCTGTTCAGCAGTGTCAGTCTACAGAGCTGCCAGCTCTCATTGGCCTTGAGACACACATTTTACCCTCTTCTCAAGCTCTCAGGGCACACATTTTACCCTCTTCTCAAGCTCTCAGGGCACACATTTTATATCTCACAAGGGGCGCAACTTTCACTGGGGACGGGGACATGCCCCCCCCCCCCCCACACACATTCTGAAATTGCATCCCTCCCCGTTTTATCATTGGAATGTAATACAAAACGAGGCAACGGTGTGCTTTAGGACCATGCGGAAGCCTCCGAGCAGTCGGGCTGTTTGGAGTGTTTATCCGGCTGGAGAAAAATATAAATAATTATTATCCCCCCCCCCCCCCCACTTCTAATACCAAAGTTGCGCCCCTGTATCTCACGCATTGAAAAGTACTGCTTTTATTTTTCTAATTAGTCCGTTAGTCAGCTCGTTAACTTTTCAACTACGCTCCAAATCGTTTTGAAATTGGACCATCTGCGCCTGCAATTTAACGTCACAATCTGAACCTATATTATTGTCCTGTCTTGCCCCAGCACTGGGAACAGTGGCACGTTGAAGCATATGATAGGTCTAGTTATGTAAGGGATCAAGGGGATTGGATGCATGTTTTAAAGAACCGCTCCTCAAGATTAGAGTGGTGCTGAATGGAGAGACAACGGGGTGTTTCTCAAAATGCATACTACCGTGCTCCGAGCAAGGGAGGGTCGGAGTATGAGTCCAAATCAAAGTGTGCGAAACGTAGCACGGAGGGCACTTCTCGAATGCGTACTCCGTTTGTACTTATGTTGACTCATGCATTGATACAAGCTTCAACGGAAAGTATAGGTCATAAGCCCATAGTAAGTCAATATAGCTAACTGGCTAGCTACTATTGTTAGCTAGCCAGATGGCCACGAATAATTGTTAGGGAGCTACCCATTAAGAATTGACATCTACCTTGGACAACATTGGTTTTAGGTCATTTTAGCCTGTTATACTATCTGTTTAGCTACATTTATTACGATTCACATATAGCTAGCTGGTAGTTATGAAGTAAAACATTTGCTTTGTGTATATCTTGTTTCGTCTCTATTGCCATTGTCCTGGCTAGAAGAAGGAAGGTTCAGTGAATGGGTAAATCCATAGATAATAATAATATGCCATTTATCCAAAGCGACTTACAGTCATGCGTGCATACATTTTTTTTTGTGTATGGGTGGTCCCGGGGATCAAACCCACTACCTTAGCGTTACAAGCGCCGTGCTCTACCAGCTGAGCTATAGAGGACCACAGCCAATCAGGTTGGCCGTTTGTGTATCTGATTCTTGAGATCTGAGTTTTAATGAACCTGATCCTGTCCATTGAAGCAAAACACTTTTGATGTGAAGGTGGATGCTGTATATAACAACTATCATTTTATTTCAACTATTTTACGAACTTTGCTTGTACAAAGATTTCTGATTGAGGCCTTTTTCTCCTCGGGCCGCTCGTGAACTGTGGCCTACACCTTTTTGGAGTGGAGCGCGCCGAGTCAGGAGCGTCTGTCTGCGCGCAAGGCCTGCTACGTGAGCACAGGTGTGCACTGAAGGCTAGGAGCGGAGAAGCGGTTGCTGGATTTATGGTCTCAAACTGGTCTTGAATGTACAAAAAACAAAATGCATGACCTTTACCAGAGCTAGCATTGTCACATCTGGTGGCTTATCCACTGAAAAAGTGTCATCCTACACATACCCAGGTATATAGTTGGATGACAAGTTGTCCTTTAAAGTTCATATGGATAATCTTGTGAGGAAGCTTAAATTAAAATTGTGTTTTTGTTTTTGTAATAAGGCCTGCTTCCCGCTTATGGCTATTAAGAAGCTTGATCAGGCTTTTCTCTCTGTAATTGATTATGGTGATGTCACATTGTATAATAATATATAATATGCCATTTAGCAGACGCTTTTATCCAAAGCGACTTACAGTCATGCGTGCATACATTTTTTTTTTTTGTGTATGGGTGGTCCCGGGGATCGAACCCACTACCTTGGCGTTACAAGCGCCGTGCTCTACCAGCTGAACTACAGAGGACCACAGATTAGAAGACAGGAACAGGAATACGTATTAGGGGTTTGATTTACTCCACCCAACACAAACACATGTGCGTATATATACAAAAGGGATGTAACCCAAACAAAGAGCGAGGTGTAACCTCTACACAATACACGGGACGAGACCCGTAACCAACCAGAGCACAATACACGGGACCAACAGACATGGGAAAATAATCGACAAGGACAATGGGGAACAGAGGGCACATATATACAGTGGGGAGAACAAGTATTTGATACACTGCCGATTTAGCAAGTATTCCTACTTACAAAGCATGTAGAGGTCTGTAATTTTTATCATAGGTACACTTCAACTGTGAGAGACTGAATCTAAAACAAAAATCCAGAAAATCACATTGTATGATTTTTAAGTAATTAATTTGCCTTTTATTGCATGACATAAGTATTCGATCACCTACCAACCAGTAAGAATTCCGGCTCTCACAGACCTGTTAGTTTTTCTTTAAGAAGCCCTCCTGATCTCCACTCATTACCTGTATTAACTGCACCTGTTTGAACTCGTTACCTGTATAAAAGACACCTGTCCATACACTCAATCAAACAGACTCCAACCTCTCCACAATGGCCAAGACCAGAGAGCTGTGTAAGGACATCAGGGATAAAATTGTAGACCTGCACAAGGCTGGGATGGGCTACAGGACAATAGGCAAGCAGCTTGGTGAGAAGGCAACAACTGTTGGCGCAATTATTAGAAAATGGAAGAAGTTCAAGATGACGGTCAATCACCCTCGGTTTGCCAATCACCATCTGGATGATCCAGAGGAGGAATGGGAGAAGGTCATGTGGTCTGATGAAACCAAAATATAACTTTTTGGTAAAAACTCAACCCGTCGTGTTTGGAGGACAAAGAATGCTGAGTTGCATCCAAAGAACACCATACCTACTGTGAAGCATGGGGGTGGAAACATCATGCTTTGGGGCTGTTTTTCTGCAAAGGGACCAGGACGACTGATCCGTGTAAAGGAAAGAATGAATGGGGCCATGTATCGTGAGATTTTGAGTGAAAACCTCCTTCCATCAGCAAGGGCATTGAAGATGAAACGTGGCTGGGTCTTTCAGCATGACAATGATACCAAACACACCGCCCGGGCAACGAAGGAGTGGCTTCGTAAGAAGCATTTCAAGGTCCTGGAGTGGCCTAGCCAGTCTCCAGATCTCAACCCCATAGAAAATCTTTGGAGGGAGTTGAAAGTCTGTGTTGCCCAGCGACAGCCCCAAAACATCACTGCTCTAGAGGAGATCTGCATGGAGGAATGGGCCAAAATACCAGCAACAGTGTGTGAAAACCTTGTGAAGACTTACAGAAAATGTTTGACCTGTGTCATTGCCAACAAAGGGTATATAACAAAGTATTGAGAAACTTTTGTTATTGACCAAATACTTATTTTCCACCATAATTTGCAAATAATTTCATAAAAAATCCTACAATGTGATTTTCTGGATTTTTTTTCTCATTTTGTCTGTCATAGTTGACGTGTACCTATGATGAAAATGACAGGCCTCTCTCATCTTGTTAAGTGGGAGAACTTGCACAATTGATGGCTGACTAAATACTTTTTTTCCCCACTGTAACTGGTGAACTGTTAATCTACTAAAGGTAATCATTCTCAGGCTTCCATTCGGTAAAGTATTGGGTCCTAAAATAGTAATCCAGCTATTCTAAATGATGTTCCTCTCCTCCAGCTCATCAATGCAGTGGTTCTCCTCATCCTACTATCGGCCCTGAACAACCCGATCCAGTACGGCTACCTCCTTACCAACGCTGAGCTGGGATCAGACTTGGATGTCATGGATGATGCTAGTAAGTCTTATTATTACTGGGATGATGTCATGGATGATGCTAGTAAGTCTTATTATTACTGGGATGATGTCATGGATGATGTTAGTAAGTCTTATTATTACTGGGATGATGTCATGGATGATGTTAGTAAGTCTTATTATTACTGGGATGATGTCATGGATGATGTTAGTAAGTCTTATTATTACTGGGATGATGTCATGGATGATGCTAGTAAGTCTTATTATTACTGGGATGATGTCATGGATGATGTTAGTGAGTCTTATTATTACTGGGATGATGTCATGGATGATGCTAGTAAGTCTTATTATTACTGGGATGATGTCATGGATGATGTTAGTAAGTCTTATTATTACTGGGATGATGTCATGGATGATGTTAGTAAGTCTTATTATTACTGGGATGATGTCATGGATGATGTTAGTAAGTCTTATTATTACTGGGATGATGTCATGGATGATGCTAGTAAGTCTTATTATTACTGGGATGATGTCATGGATGATGTTAGTGAGTCTTATTATTACTGGGATGATGTCATGGATGATGCTAGTAAGTCTTATTATTACTAGGATGATGTCATGGATGATGTTAGTGAGTCTTATTATTACTGGGATGATGTCATGGATGTTGTTAGTAAGTCTTATTATTACTGGGATGATGTCATGGATGATGTTAGTAAGTCTTATTATTACTGGGATGATGTTAGTAAGTCTTATTATTACTGGGATGATGTCATGGATGATGTTAGTAAGTCTTATTATTACTGGGATGATGTCATGGATGATGTTAGTGTGTCTTATTATTACTGGGGTGATGTCATGGATGATGTTAGTAAGTCTTATTATTACTGGGATGATGTCATGGATGATGTTAGTAAGTCTTATTATTACTGGGATGATGTCATGGATGATGTTAGTAAGTCTTATTATTACTGGGATGATGTCATGGATGATGCTAGTAAGTCTTATTATTACTGGGATGATGTCATGGATGATGTTAGTAAGTCTTATTATTACTGGGATGATGTCATGGATGATGTTAGTAAGTCTTATTATTACTGGGATGATGTTAGTAAGTCTTATTATTACTGGGATGATGTCATGGATGATGTTAGTAAGTCTTATTATTACTGGGATGTTGTCATGGATGATGTTAGTAAGTCTTGCTATTACTGGGATGATGTCATGGATGATGTTAGTAAGTCTTATTATTACTGGGATGATGTCATGGATGTTGTTAGTAAGTCTTATTATTACTGGGATGATGTCATGGATGATGTTAGTAAGTCTTGCTATTACTGGGATGATGTCATGGATGATGTTAGTAAGTCTTATTATTACTGGGATGATGTCATGGATGATGTTAGTAAGTCTTATTATTACTGGGATGATGTCATGGATGATGTTAGTAAGTCTTATTATTACTGGGATGATGTCATGGATGATGTTAGTAAGTCTTGCTATTACTGGGATGATGTCATGGATGATGTTAGTAAGTCTTACTATTACTGGGATGATGTCATGGATGATGTTAGTAAGTCTTATTATTACTGGGATGATGTCATGGATGATGTTAGTAAGTCTTATTATTACTGGGATGATGTCATGGATGATGTTAGTAAGTCTTGCTATTACTGGGATGATGTCATGGATGATGTTAGTAAGTCTTATTATTACTGGGATGATGTCATGGATGATGTTAGTAAGTCTTATTATTACTGGGATGATGTCATGGATGATGTTAGTAAGTCTTATTATTACTGGGATGATGTCATGGATGATGTTAGTGTGTCTTATTATTACTGGGATGATGTCATGGATGATGTTAGTAAGTCTTATTATTACTGGGATGATGTCATGGATGATGTTAGTAAGTCTTATTATTACTGGGATGATGTCATGGATGATGTTAGTAAGTCTTATTATTTCTGGGATGATGTCATGGATGACGTTAGTAAGTGCAGGACATTGTTTGTGAGGCATGATGTCTTGTTATGAGAACCAACTAGAAGCACAGACAGAGATTGTTTGGTCCTACATGTTATGACACACTAATAACTGATGATAGCAACAGAGGTGTTTTGGTCCTACATGTCTTTAAAATACAATTGTCTGATATGGTCATTTCTTATCAAGATCAAGGGGTAACAAATCCCTGGACAGTCCATATTTGAAATGTGTAACTAAATCAAGTAAATCATTATATATTATTTAACTAGGCAAGTCAGTTAATAAACAAATTCTTATTTACAATGACGGCCTACTTGTAAAGCCCCCCTGGCCAAACCCTCCCCTAACCCGGACGACACTGGGCCAAACCCTCCCCTCCCCTAACGACGCTGGGCCAAACCCTCCCCTAACCCGGACGACGCTGGGCCAAACCCTCCCCTAACCCGGACGACGCTGGGCCAAACCCTCCCCTAACCCGGACGACGCTGGGCGAAACCCTCCCCTAACCCGGACGACGCTGGGCCAAACCCTCCCCTAACCCGGACGACGCTGGGCCCAACCCTCCCCTAACCTGGACGACGCTGGGCCAAACTCTCCCCTAACCCGGACGACGCTGGGCCAAACCCTCCCCTCCCCTAACGACGCTGGGCCAAACCCTCCCCTAACCCGGACGACGCTGGGCCCAACCCTCCCCTAACCTGGACGACGCTGGGCCAAACCCTCCCCTAACCCGGACGACACTGGGCCAAACCCTCCCCTCCCCTAACGACGCTGGGCCAAACCCTCCCCTAACCCGGACGACGCTGGGCCCAACCCTCCCCTAACCTGGACGACGCTGGGCCAAACCCTCCCCTCCCCTAACGACGCTGGGCCAAACCCTCCCCTCCCCTAACGACGCTGGGCCAAACCCTCCCCTCCCCTAACGACGCTGGGCCAAACCCTCCCCTAACCCGGACGACACTGGGCCAAACCCTCCCCTAACCCGGACGACACTGGGCCAAACCCTCCCCTAACCCGGACGACACTGGGCCAAACCCTCCCCTAACCCGGACGACGCTGGGCCAAACCCTCCCCTAACCCGGACGACGCTGGGCCAAACCCTCCCCTAACCCGGACGACGCTGGGCCAAACCCTCCCCTAACCCGGACGACGCTGGGGCCAACTCTCCCCTAACCCGGACGACGCTGGGCCAAACCCTCCCCTCCCCTAACGACGCTGGGCCAAACCCTCCCCTAACCCGGACGACGCTGGGCCAAACCCTCCCCTAACCCGGACGTCGCTGGGCCAAACCCTCCCCTCCCCTAACGACGCTGGGCCAAACTCTCCCCTAACCCGGACGACGCTGGGCCAAACCCTCCCCTCCCCTAACGACGCTGGGCCAAACCCTCCCCTAACCCGGACGACGCTGGGCCCAACCCTCCCCTAACCTGGACGACGCTGGGCCAAACCCTCCCCTAACCCGGACGACACTGGGCCAAACCCTCCCCTCCCCTAACGACGCTGGGCCAAACCCTCCCCTAACCCGGACGACGCTGGGCCCAACCCTCCCCTAACCTGGACGACGCTGGGCCAAACCCTCCCCTCCCCTAACGACGCTGGGCCAAACCCTCCCCTCCCCTAACGACGCTGGGCCAAACCCTCCCCTCCCCTAACGACGCTGGGCCAAACCCTCCCCTAACCCGGACGACACTGGGCCAAACCCTCCCCTAACCCGGACGACACTGGGCCAAACCCTCCCCTAACCCGGACGACGCTGGGCCAAACCCTCCCCTAACCCGGACGACGCTGGGCCAAACCCTCCCCTAACCCGGACGACGCTGGGCCAAACCCTCCCCTAACCCGGACGACGCTGGGCCAAACCCTCCCCTAACCCGGACGACGCTGGGGCCAACTCTCCCCTAACCCGGACGACGCTGGGCCAAACCCTCCCCTCCCCTAACGACGCTGGGCCAAACCCTCCCCTAACCCGGACGATGCTGGGCCAAACCCTCCCCTAACCCGGACGACGCTGGGCCAAACCCTCCCCTCCCCTAACGACGCTGGGCCAAAACCCTCCCCTAACCCGGACGACACTGGGCCAAACCCTCCCCTCCCCTAACGACGCTGGGCCAAACCCTCCCCTAACCCGGACGACGCTGGGCCAAACCCTCCCCTAACGACGCTGGGCCAAACCCTCCCCTAACCCGGACGACGCTGGGCCAAACCCTCCCCTAACGACGCTGGGCCCAACCCTCCCCTAACCCGGACAACGCTGGGCCAAACCCTCCCCTAACCCGGACGACGCTGGGCCAAACCCTCCCCTAACCCGGACAACGCTGGGCCAAACCCTCCCCTAACCCGGACGACGCTGGGCCAAACCCTCCCCTAACCCGGACGACGCTGGGCCAAACCCTCCCCTAACCCGGACGACGCTGGGCCAAACCCTCCCCTAACCCGGATGACGCTGCGCCGCCCTATGGGACTCCCGATAATTTCCAGTTGTGATACAGCCCGGGATCGAACCCGGGTCTGTAGTGACACCTCTAGCACTGCGATGCAGTGCCTTAGACCGCTGCGCCACTCGGCATATATTATATTATTTTGCCATTTTAGTGAAACGTTTGAATTAAATATAGGCCTACTACTTATCATACTCAAATATAAAAAAAACAACATTAATCAGCCTTGAGGTTTCCGATGCTCCTGATAGGTTGATATTTAATTGGGGCGGGAGTAGAGAATTTAGATCAGCTGTCTGTCATAATCTCTTGACAATGAGAGATCAACTGATCTGCTGGTTTATCCTCAAGTTTTTTTGTTGCAATCAAGCTTAGATGAACCCACAGGTGCATGTAATCTCCCGTTAGTAGCGTTTTAAGAAATCCAGCGGTAAATTCTGCTTGTTCGTTTCAATCGAGCCATGGACTTTTATTACTGAATCTCTTTCTGTATAATAGAACAAGTCGCGACTATGTTCATGTTTAGCTTTTCTTTCAACAGATATGTGTATCGCCACGGCAATCTCCCTGCTCATGATTCTGATATGTGGCATGGCAACCTATGGCGCTTACAAGGTAATCACACAAATAACTACTGAACAATACATCATTGTTGTAGGCATAGATATACATATATAACTGTTAATCTCTGTGGTTGTAGGCTATAGTACCGTTTTACCAGTCAACAGTAGAATACCATACAGACTACCCCCCCCAAAAAACAGAATACTGTTTTCAAGTGAAGTGAAATTCTCACTAAATCTCCTATACTTTTTAAATGAAAACGTATTTTCTCCTTACAGCAACATGCAGCGTGGCTCATCCCATTCTTCTGCTACCAAATCTTTGACTTTGTCCTTAACACCCTGGTGGCCATCAGTGTTGTGGTGTACCCCAACAGTATCCAGGACTACTTACACCAGCTGGTAATATATAAATATATTATAACTCATATACAGTCTTATATAACCCCAACACCATCCAGAGGAAGGAGCTCATAAAGCCCATCAATATCATACAGCAGAATGTTTTGTCTTTCATGTCTGTCCTTCCTCCATATTCTTGTATTTGCTTTATGTAGTAAAATGTAATCTCTTTGATTACATTCCTTCAGACATTTTTATTTTGTAACTTTTTATTTTTCATTTCCAAAAATTCGACATAAAACCGATGGAAATATACTGTATATTATGTCTAGCTACAAAAACATTCCTTCTTCCATTTTGGATCACGTAGGTCTCTGGAGTTGTTCATCTTGTATCTTCTCTCTCAGCCAGGGACGTTACCGTACAAAGAGGACATCATGTCCACCAACAACTTGTGCCTGGCCTTCTTAGTGCTGCTCTTCGTGGGCTGCATCCTCTCCTTTAAGGTAAGAATCTATATTATATATAGTATAGACTTTGTGTCTATCTCAGCTCAACCGACCAGGATCCCTATATAGTCCTGCTACATAGGACCCTTGTCACTTTGCTCTTGAACTTGGATTGTGTTCAGGTCAGTTGCTCCAGAAAATAAAATTTATTTTATAAACCCCTTTTTATATCAGCAGATGTCATAAAGTGCCATACAGAAACCCAGCCTAAAACCCCAAACAGCAGCAATGCAGATGTAGAAGCACGGTGGCTAGGAAAAACTCCCTAGAAAGGCAGGAAACCTAGGAAGAAACCTAGAGAGGAACCAGGCTCTGAGGGGTGGCCAGTCCTCTTCTGGCTGGAGATTATCAACAATTATTTATTCATTTCTTTAGGATGTTGAAAGTAAAAGATTTTTAAAAAACGACACTGTGCAATTTAGCCAAACAGGTTAGAATAATTGTTAATCTATTTCAATGGGCATAGTTAGCAGCTGGTCTTCGTAGGGAGGGAGTGACACGATCAAGTGACAGAATCACGAGCGAAGCACAATGTTGCCTCCAACTCTCGTTTTCTTGCCTGACAGACTAACTACAGAGTTCGCCAATGATTACATTGGCAGTCGGTGCCGTTTAAGATGTGGGAGGACGATTATTTTGTGTATGAGCCTTATTTCTATTACAGCATATTGGATGACTGTCATCCATATTCCATTCACCCAGCTCAATGTAGCATCGATAGCTTTAGGCTACTTACCACATGATACCCTCATTTTTCCCTAGGAGAAACTACAGTCAGATGGGGAGAAACTAAAATCAGATGGGGAGAAACTACAATCAGATTGGGGAGAAACTACAGTCAGATGGGGAGAAACTACAGTCAGATGGGGAGAAACTAAAATCAGATGGGGAGAAACTACAATCAGATTGGGGAGAAACTACAATCAGATGGGGAGAAACTACAATCAGATTGGGGAGAAACTACAGTCAGATGGGGAGAAACTACAGTCAGATGGGGAGAAACTAAAATCAGATGGGGAGAAACTACAATCAGATGGGGAGAAACTGCAGTCAGATGGGGAGAAACTACAGTCAGATGGGGAGAAACTACAATCAGATGGGGAGAAACTACAATCAGATGGGGAGAAACTACAATCAGATGGGGAGAAACTACAATCAGATGGGGAGAAACTACAATCAGATGGGGAGAAAGATTTGTTTAACACTTTTTTGGTTACTACATGATTCCATATGTGTTATTTCATAGTTTTGATGTCTTCACTATTATTCTACAATGTAGAAAATAGTACAAATAAAGAAAACCCCTTGAATGAGTAGGTGTGTCCAAACGTTTGACCAGTAGTGTAGATAGGGAGGGACTACAGTCATCTGTAATGGAGAAACTGCCGTCGGGTGGGGAGTCCCACTGCCGTCGGGTGGGGAGAAACTGCCGTCGGGTGGGGAGAAACTGCCGCCATCTTTACAATCAAATCAAGTCCTATCTGTCATGGCTGGGGTTCCCAGAGACATTTTTTTTCTTCAAAATGGCAGTGGAGAGAAAGAACGATTATAGTGGAAGGATAAACCCAACCCAACTCGCTGCCGGGGAGAGAGAGAGATCAGCCACCTATCCTCTCCTAGCAGGCTGGACCAATCAGATCCCTTCTGAATGACCTGCCACAACATTATAGCCCGTCTCTGTTAGTGGAAGGACAGATAGGAGTCTGATCTCATTAGTCTCTTCCATTGAGCAGCTGTTGTAACTTTCATACAGTGCCGTGAAAAAGTATTTGCCCCCTTTCTAATTTTCTCTACTTTTGCATATTTGCTGAATGTTATCAGATCTTCAACCAAAACCTAATATTAGATAAAGGGAACATAAGTGAACAAATAACACAACAATTACATATTTATTTCATAAACAAAGTTATGCAACATCCAATTCCCCTGTGTGAAAAAGTAATTGCCCCCTTACACTCAATAACTGGTTGTGCCACCTTTAGCTGCAATGACTCCAACCAAATGCTTCCTGTAGTTGTTGATCAGTCTCTCACGTCGCTGTGGAGGAATTTTGGCCCACTCTTCCATGCAGAACTGCTTTAACTCAGTGACGTGTGGGTTTTCAAGCATGAACTGCTCGTTTCAAGTCCTGCCACAACATCTCAATTGGCATTAGGTCTGGACTTTGACTAGGCCATTCAAAAACTTCCAATTTGTTGCTTTTTAGCCATTTTCATGTAGACTTGACTGTGTGTTTTGGATCATTGTCTTGCTGCATGACACAGCTGCGCTTCAGCTTCAGCTCACAGACGGATGGTCTGACGTTCTCCTGTAGAATTCTCTGATACAGAGCAGAATTCATGGTTCCTTCTATTAAGGCAAGTCGTCCAGGTCCTGAGGCAGCAAAGCATCCCCAAACCATCACACCACCACCACCATGCTTGACCTTTGGTATGATGTTCTTACTGTGGAATTCAGTGTTTGGTTTTCGGTCCATCCGTCTGTGAGCTGAAGCTGAAGCGCAGCTGGGTCATGCAGCAAGACAATGATCCAAAACACACAATCAATACATGAAAATAGCTAAAAAGCAACAAATGTGATGTTTTGGAATGACCTAGTCAAAGTCCAGACCTAATGCCAATTGAGATGTTGTAGCAGGACTTGAAACGAGCAGTTCATGCTTGAAAAACCCACACGTCACTGAGTTAAAGCAGTTCTGCATGGAAGAGTGGGCCAAAATTCCTCCACAGCGACGTGAGAGACTGATCAACAACTACAGGAAGCATTTGGTTGGAGTCATTGCAGCTAAAGGTGGCACAACCAGTTATTGAGTGTAAGGGGGCAATTACTTTTTCACACAGGGGAATTGGGTGTTGCATAACTTTGTTTATGAAATAAATATGTAATCGTTGTGTTATTTGTTCACTTATGTTCCCTTTATCTAATATTAGGTTTTAGTTGAAGATCTGATAACATTCAGTATCACAAATATGCAAAAGTAGAGAAAATTAGAAAGGGAGCAAATACTTTTGCACAGCACTGTACGTGACTTAAAAGTGGTCCCAGATCTGTTTGTGCATGACGATGACCATAGGAGTTGGCAAGACGGCAACAAACAGACGTGAAACAGCACAGACAGGAATGTGTAGAGGACTACGTAACTAAGCAGGATTATTATAAATGTTCTGTGAAGATCCATAACTGTTGTTCTTCCTCTCTGCAGGCCTACCTCATTGGCTGCGTGTGGAACTGCTACAGATACTTGACTATAAGAGGAGAAGTGCTTTTATACGTCACAACTAACGACACCTCTGTAAGTCACTGCTATAGAGATGCATTATAGAATACTAAACTCAGGACCCTGTCTTTCAAAGATAATTCGTAAAAATCCAAATAACTTCACAGATCTTCATTGTAAAGGGTTTAAACACTGTTTCCCATGCTTGTTCAATGAACCATAAACAATTAAGAGCGTCTGCTAAATGACTAAAATGTAAAATGTTAAGACACTGACAGCTTACAGACGGTAGGCAATTAAGGTCACAGTTATGAAAACTTAGGACACTAAAGAGGCCTTTCTACTGACTCTGAAAAAACACCAAAAGAAAGATGCCCAGGGTCCCTGCTCATCTGCGTGAATGTGCCTTAGGCATGCTGCAAGGAGGCATGAGGACTGCAGATGTGGCCAATAAATTGCAATGTCTGTACTGTGAGACACCTAAGACAGCGCTACAGGGAGACAGGACGGACAGCTGATCGTCCTCGCAGTGGCAGACCACGTGTAACAACACCTGCACAGGATCGGTATATCTGAACATCACACCTGCGGGACAGGTACAGGATGGCAACAACAACTGCCCGAGTTACACCAGGAACGCACAATCCCTCCATCAGTGCTCAGACTGTCCGCAATAGGCTGAGAGAGGCTGGACTGAGGGCTTGTAGGCCTGTTGTAAGGCAGGTCCTCACCAGACATCACCGGCAACAACGTTGCCTATAAACACAAACCCACCGTCGCTGGACCAGACAGGACTGTCATAAAGTGCTCTTCACTGACAAGTCACGGTTTTGTCTCACCAGGGGTGATGGTCGGATTCGCATTGATCGTCAAAGGAATGAGCGTTACATCGAGGCCTGTACTCTGGAGCGGGATCGATGTGGAGGGTCCGTCATGGTCTGGGGCGGTGTGTCACAGCATCATCGGACTGAGCTTGTTGTCATTGCAGGCAATCTCAACGCTGTGCGTTACAGGGAAGACATCCTCCTCCCTCATGTGGTACCCTTCCTGCAGGCTCATCCTCACATGACCCACCAGCATGACAATGCCACCAGCCATACTGCTCGTTCTGTGCGTGATTTCCTGCAAGACAGGAATGTCAGTGTTCTGCCATGGCCAGCGAAGAGCCCGGATCTCAATTCCATTGATCACGTCTGGGACCTGTTGGATCCCCCCCAGAAATGTCTTGGAACTTGCAGGTGCCTTGGTGGAAGAGTGGGGTAACATCTCACAGCAAGAACTGGCAAATCTGGTGCAGTCCATGAGGAGGAGATGCACTGCAGTACTTAATGCAGCTGGTGGCCACACCAGATACTGACTGTTACTTTAGATTTTGACCCCCCCTTTGTTAAGGGACACATTATTACATTTCTGTTAGTCACATGTCTGTGGAACTTGTTCAGTTTATGTCTCAGTTCTTGAATCTTATGTTCATACAAATATTTACACATGTTCAGTTTGCTGAAAATAAACGCAGTTGACAGTGAGAGGATGTTTCTTTTTTTGCTGAGTTTAAATAGTGTTAATAGTGCCTTCAGAAAGTATTCATACCCCTTGACTTATTCCACATTTTGTTGCGTTACTGAATTCAACATTTATTAAATTGTTTTTTTTACACACAATTCCCCATAATGACAAAGTGGAAACATGTTTTTTGAAAGTTTTGCACATTTATTGAAAATGAAATACAAAAATACACTACATGACTAAAAGTATGTGGACACCTGGTTGTCGAACATCTCATTCCAAAATCATGGGCATTAATATTTGACTTGCTTCCATTCAGCCACAAGAGCATTAGTGAGGTCGGGCACTGATGTTGGGCGATTAGGCCTGGCTCGCAGTCGGCGTTCCAATTCATCCCAAAGGTGTTCGATGGGGTTGAGGTCAGGGCTCTGTGCAGGCCAGTCAAGTTCTTCCACACCGATCTCGACAAAACATTTCTGTATGGACCTCGCTTTGTGCACGGGGGCATTGTCATGCTGAAACAGGAAAGGGCCTTCCCCAAACTGTTGACACAAAGTTGGAAGGATTTTCCTTCACTGGAACTAAGGGGCCAAGCCAGAACCATGAAAAACAGCCCCAGACCATTATTCCTCCTAATCCAAACTTTACAGTTGGCACTATGCATTCGGGCAGGTAGCGTTCTCCTGGCATCCGCCAAAACCAGATTAGTCCGTCGGACTGCCAGATGGTGAAACGTGATTCATCACTCCAGAGAACGCATTCATGTGCTGACGTTGCTTCCAGAGGCAGTTTGGAACTCGGTAGTGAGTGTTGCAACTGAAGACAGACGGTTTTTACACGCTACGCGCTTCAGCACTCGGCGGTCCCGTTCTGTGATCTTGTGTGGCCTACCACTTCGTGGCTGAGCCGTTGTTGCTCCTAGACGTTTCCACTTCACAATAAAATATCTTACAGTTGACCGGGGCAGCTCTAGTAGGGCAGAAATTTGACGAACTGACTTGTTGGAAATGTGGCATCCTATGACGGTGCCACGTTGAAAGTCACTGAGCTCTTCAGTAAGGCAATTCTATTGCCAATGTTTGTCTATGGAGATTGCATGGCTGTGTGCTCGATTTTATACACCTGTCAGCAACAGGTATGGCTGAAATAGCCAAATCCACTAATTTGAAGGGGTGTCCACATACTTTTGTATATCTAGTGTATCTAATTTACATAAGTATTCATACCCCTAAATTAATACATGTTAGAATCACCTTTGGCTGTGATTTACAGCTGTCAGTCTTTCTGGGTAAGTCTCTAAGAGCTTTCTCTGCTCCCTCTGCTGTCTCCTGAAGTCCACGATCAGCTCCTTTCTTTTGTTGACATTGAGTGAGAGGTTATTTTCCTGGCACCACACTCTGAGAGCCCTCACCTCCTCCCTGTAGGCGGTCTCGTCATTGTTGGTAATCAGGCCTACCACTGTTGTGTCTTCTGCAAACTTGATGGAGGCGTGCATGGTTGGAGGCGTGCATGGCCATGCAGTCATGGGTGAACAGGGAGGACAGGAGGGGGCTGAGAACGCACCCTTGTGGGGCCCCTGTGTTGAGGATCAGCGAAGTGGATATGTTGTTTCCTACCTTCACCACCTGGGGGCGGCCCATCAGGAAGTCCAGGACCCAATTGCACAGGGCGGGATTCAGACCCAGGGCCCTGAGCTTAATGATGAGCTTGGAGGGTACTATGGTGTTGAAGGCTGAGCTGCAGTCAATGAACAGCATTCTTACATATGCAGTGCGATGTCGATTGCATCATCCGTGGATGTATTGGGGCGGTATGCAGTGGGTCTAGGGTGTTGGGTAAGGTGGAGGTGATATGATCCTTAACTAGCCTCTCAAAGCACTTCATGATGACTGAAGTGAGTGCTACGGGCGATAGTCATTTAGTTCAGTTACCTTCGCTTTCTTGGGTACAGGAACAATGGTGGACATCTTGTAGCAAGTGGGGACAGAAGACTGGGATAGGGAGAGATTGAATATGTCCGTCAACACTCCAGCCAGCTTGTCTGCGCATGCTCTGAGGACGCGGCTAGGGATGCGTTCTGGGCTGGCAGCATTGCGAGGGTTAGCACGCTTAAATATCTTACATCGGCCTCGGGAATGGGACGTGTCGGCGGCACTATGTTATCCTCAAAGCGGGCGAAGAAGGTGTTTAGGGCGCGAGACGTCGGTGTCCGCAACGTGGCTGGTTTTCCCTTTGTAATCCGTGATTGTCTGGAGTCCCAGCAACATATGTCTCGTGTGTGAGCAGTTGAATTGACACTCCACTTTGTCTCTGTACTGATAGTTTGCCTGTTTGATTGTCTTACGGAGGGCGTAACTGGACTGTTTTTATTCAACCATATTCCCAGTCACCTCGACGTGGTTAATGCGGTGGTTCGCGCTTTCAGCTTTGCACGAATGCTGCCATCTATCCACGGTTTTTGGTTTGGAAAGGTTTTAATTGTCACAGTGGGAACAACATCACCTATACTGTTCCTGATGAACTCAAGTCACCGTGTCAGTGTATACGTCAATGTTATTCTCAGACGCAACCCGGAACATGTCCCAGTCCGTGTGATCAAAACAGTCTTGAAGCATGGATTCCGATTGGTTCCTTCCTAGAGTTTCTGCGTCTAGAAAGGAAGGAGCAAAATGGAGTCGTGATCTGATTTGTCAAAGGCAGGTCGGGGGAGGGACTTGTAGCCATCCCGGAAGGGAGAGTAACAATGGTTGAGAGTTTTTGAAGCACGAGTACTGGAGGCAATGTGTTGATAGAACTTTGGTAGCGTTTTCTTCAGATTTGCTTTATTAAAGTCCCCAGCTATAATAAATGCGGCCTCATGATATACAGTTTCCAGTTTGCAAAAGGTCTGTCGTGGTATCGGCTTGAGGGGGGAATATATATACGGCTGTGACGATGACCGAAGAGAATTCTCTAGGGAGGTAATGCGGTTGACATTTGATTGTGAGGTATTCTAGTTCGGGTGAACAAAAGGACTTGAGTTCCTGTACGTTACCACAATCACACCATGAGTAGTTAATCATGAAACATACACCACGCCTTTCTTCTTCCAGGAGAGTTCTTTATTCCTGTCCATACGATGTATTGAAAACCCAGATGGCTGTATGAACAGGGACAGTATATCCGGAGAGAGCCATGATTCCGTGAAACAGAGTATGTTACAGTCCCTGATGTCTCTCTGGAAGGAGACCCTCGCCATGAGCTCATCTACTTTATTGCCCAGGGACTGAACATTAGTAAGTAATATACTCTGAAGCAGTGGATGGTGTGCACACCTCCTAAGTCGCACTAAAAGTCCACTCAGAGGTTATTAGACCCATCTAGTACCGGGTCAGACCCCCCTTTGTCTCCAGAACAGCCGGAATCCTTCAGGGCATGGAAATGTTGCTCAATTGTTATCAAGGGATCTAACGTGTGCCAGGAAAACATTCCCCACACCATTCCACCACCGCCTGTACCGTTGCCAGGAAAGCATTCCCCTCACCATCACACCACCGCCTGTACCGTTGCCAGGAAAGCATTCCCCACACCATTCCACCACCGCCTGTACCGTTGCCAGGCAAGCATTCCCCTCACCATCACACCACCGCCTGTACCGTTGCCAGGAAAGCATTCCCCACACCATTCCACCACCGCCTGTACCGTTGCCAGGAAAGCATTCCCCACACCATCACACCACCGCCTGTACCGTAACCAGGAAAGCATTCCCCACACCATTCCACCACCGCCTGTACCGTTGCCAGGAAAGCATTCCCCACACCATTCCACCACCGCCTGTACCGTTGCCAGGAAAGCATTCCCCACACCATTCCACCACCGCCTGTACCGTTGCCAGGAAAGCATTCCCCACACCATTCCACCACCGCCTGTACCGTTGACACCAGGCAGGATGGGGCCATGGACTCATGCTGCTTACGCCAGATCCTGACTCAACAGGAAACAGGATTCGTCGGACAAGGCAATGTTTTTCCACTCCTCAGTTGTCCAGTGTTGGTGATGGCGTGCCCACTGGAGCCGCTTCTTCTTGTTTTTAGCTGATAGGAGTGGAACCAGGTGTGCTCGTCTGCTGCAATAGCCCATCCGTGACAAGGACCGACGAGTTGTGCGTATCGAGATGCCGTTCTGCACACCACTGTTGTACTGCGAAGTTGTCCGCCTGTTTGTGGTCCGCCTGTTAGCTTGCACCATTTTTGCCATTCTCTTTCGACCTCACTTATTTACATTTACATTTTAGTCATTTAGCAGATGCTCTTATCCAGAGCGACTTACAGACTTGATGTTTTTTTGTTTGTCGCACCATTCTCAGTAAACCCTAGACCCTGTCCTGGAAAGCTCCGGAGGCCGTCTCTGGCTGACTGGGACTGGTGCTCAAAGTCGCTTAGGTCACTTGTTTTGCCCATTCTAACGCTCAATCGAACAGTAACTGAATGCCTTAATGCCTGTCTGCCTGCTTTATATTGCAAGCCATGGCCATGTGACTCACTGTCTGTAGGAGCGATCCAGTTTAAACTGGCCACTGAGTGCATATTCGTTTAGAATAGTGTGGCTACAGCAGTACACCACCGTGTATCTAACCAGGCTGTGTCTCTTCGTTGTAGGTTCTGCTGCCGCCCTATGAAGAGGTTGTTGCCATCCGTCCCAAGGAGCCCCCCCCTCAGTATGTGGAAGCATGAGGAGAGGGAGAGAGATTCTGCCCTGGACCTCATCCCCTCCCTCCCTCCCCTCCCCTCCTTCCCTCCCCTCCTCTTCCCTCATCCTCCTCTCTCCCTCTCCTTCCCTCATCCTCCTCTCTCCCTCTCCTCTCTCCCTCTCCTCTCTCCCCTCTCCCCTCTCCCTCTCCCTCTCCTCTCTCCCCTCTCCCTCTCTTCGTAAACAAAAGACTGGTCCTCATTGAATGTAATATCGGGAGTATTTTTATATAACTTTTTATATAATTCTAATTGACTGAATAATCCAGTGAGATGATTAAGGGACATCATTGTTGTGATACAACACATACAGTTGAAGTCAGAAGTTTACATACACCTTAGCCAAATACATTTAAACTCAGTTTTTCACAATTCCTGACATTTAATCCTAGTAAATATTCCCTGTCTAAGGTCAGTTAGGATCACCACTTCATTTTAAGAATGTGAAATGTCAGAATAATAGTAGAGAGAATTATTTATTGCCTTTAAATTGTTTAACTTGGGTCAAACGTTTCGGGTAGCCTTCCACAAGCTTCCCACAATAAGTTGGGTGAATTTTGGCCCATTCCTCCTGACAGAGCTGGTGTAACTGAGTCAGGTTTGTAGGCCTCCTTGCTCGCACACGCTTTTTCAGTTCTGCCCACAAATGGGCTTGCAAGCTACCCCCTTTTTCCTCCAAACATAACGATGGTCATTATGGCCAAACAGTTCTATTTTTGTTTCATCAGACAAAGGCCATCTCTCCAAAAAGTACGATCTTTGTCCCCATGTGCAGCTGCAAACCATAGTCTGGCTTTTTTATGGCGGTTTTGGAGCAGTGGCTTCTTCCTTGCTGAGCAGCCTTTCAGGTTATGTCGATATAGGACACGTTTTACTGTGGATATAGATACTTTTGTACCGGTTTCCTCCAGCATCTTCACAAGGTCCTTTGCTGTTGTTCTGGGATTGATTTACACTTTTCGCACCAAAGTACGTTCATCTCTAGGAGACAGAACGCGTCTCCTTCCTGAGCGGTATGACGGCTGCGCGGTCCCATGGTGTTTATACTTGCATACTATTGTTTGTACAGATGAACGTGGAACCTTCAGGCATTTGGAAATTGCTCCCAAGGATGAACCAGACTTGTGGAGGTCAATTTTTTTTTTTCTTCTGAGGTCTTGGCTGATTTCTTTTGATTTTCCCATGATGTCAAGCAAAGAGGCCTTGAAATACATCCACAGGTACACCTCCGATTGACTCAAATTATGTCAATTAGCCTATCAGAAGCTTTTAAAGCCATTAAATCATTTTCTGGAATTTTCCAAGCTGTTTAAAGACACAGTCAACTTAGTGTATGTAAACTTCTGACCCACTGGAATTGTATTGTGTTATGTTGCAGTTTCAAACTGAAATGTAAAGGTCAAAGGTCATTTCCGATTGAGCCGATATATGCAGCCGTGAAGGCAGTCTCCGCCAACGCGGAAACATTGCCTTTAAATTTCAATCACGCTGTAACGCTGAACTTCCGTGATACGGATTGAATAGAACCCTGAGTTGTACGTTTTAAATTATGTTTTTTTTACATTATGGTATGATCTCATCTTTGTAGCTGAGCTAACTGAGCTAGCTGGACTGAGGACATTTCTTAGTAGGGATATGGTTATCTAACAGGGTTGGGCTTAATTGCAGGCAGTCAATTCAGGAAGTAAACTGAAATTCCATTTCAATAATTGAAAAAAGTCAATCTATTTTCATTTATTTCTCAATAAACTTACAAGTAAAGTCTATGATATGCTGCTATATACTAATAACACTGTGATATGATGTTATTTGTTTTTAAAATGTTAAAATGCTACTTTTCCTGTGATAGTCACAATGAAGGAGAAGTTACCCTTGATAGAGTAGCACATAAAAGCTATACAATAATATAATTGGTTAAAGCAAGAACATACGTCCGTCTTTACCTCGGGGTTCAGGCAATAACTTCCGTAATATAATGGCAAGTCAGATTCATGTTGGTCATGTAGCTCTTCTCCAGAGAGATTTAGTCAGAGCCTTCGGCTCGCAGTAGATTCCTCATTTTTCCCAATAAAAAAGCTATTTAATAATAATAATATTTACAATACTTCTGTAGTTTAGAGACGTAGAATTACTGCTAGAATGACATTCTGCCCCATACATCATTGATGTGTGAATTATGACCACTGCTTTTGCAATCCAACAACGGCTAATGAAAAATGTGGACAAATTGCACTTTAACAAATAATCCATGTCAGATATTTGAAGTCAGTGTTTTGGGGTTTTATTTTCTAGAATATAGGCTACACCATGTCTGTGATTACCTGTGTGTTAAAGTCTCCCTGGTTTTTAATGTGATATTAAAACAAAGGAACTGGTAAGAGAAACGTTTTAGATTAATATTGTATGACTATGGGATAATGTGACTGAGGTCTGCATTAGAAGTCTTCCCTTGGCACCCTATTCCCTATATAGTGCACTACTTTAGACCAGATAATGGCATCCTATTCCCTATATAGTGCACTACTTTAGACCAGAGAATGGCACCCTATTCCCTATATAGTGCACTACTTTAGACCAGAGAATGGCACCCTATTCCCTATGTAGTGCACTACTTTAGACCCTAGTTCACTATATAGGGAGCCATTTGGGACTGGCGCTTACTGTCTCCACTCTGATCAAGGAGCCACCGTGTTTCCTTCTGTTTATTCCTCTGAGGGACATTAAGAAGCTGTCCTGTCTGTTTATTCCTCTGAGGGACATTAAGACGCTGTCCTGTCTGTTTATTCCTCTGAGGGACATTAAGACAGAACTAGATCTGTCTTATCAGCCAGAGATAGAGGACTTGCCTGCTTAGGTATGAAGGTTAAATAAAATGAAGTAAAATAGATGATCCTCAACATCGCTACTGCTGAGAATTATTGGAAATAATGATTAGATAGGCTGGAGCTCCACCCAACCCGTTATAGTGATTAGATAAGGCTGGAGCTCCACCCAACCCGTTATAGTGATTAGATAGGCTGGAGCTCCACCCAACCCGTTATAGTGATTAGATAGGCTGGAGCTCCACCCAACCCGTTATAGTGATTAGATAGGCTGGAGCTCCACCCAACCCGTTATAGTGATTAGATAGGCTGGAGCTCCACCCAACCCGTTATAGTGATTAGATAGGCTGGAGCTCCACCCAACCCGTTATAGTGGAGCAGCATCCAGCGGAGAGGGAGAGAGGGCGATCAGCGGAGAGGGAGAGAGAGCGATCAGCGGAGAGGGAGAGAGGGGGATCAGCGGAGAGGGAGAGAGAGCGATCACCGGAGAGGGAGAGAGAGCGATCAGCGGAGAGGGAGAGAGAGGATCAGAAGAGAGGAGAGAGAGAGGGATCAGCAGAGAGGGAGAGAGGGATCAGCAGGAGAGGGAGAGGAGAGAGCGATCAGAGAGACGGGAGAGAGGGATCAGGAGAGGAGAGAGGATCAGGAGAGGGAGAGAGGGATCAGAGAGGAGAGGGGATCAGGAGAGGAGAGAGCGAAGAGCGATCAGCGAGAGAGGGAGAGAGAGGGATCAGCGAGAGGGAGAGAGGGACGATCAGCGGAGAGGGAGAGAGGGATCAGCGGAGAGGAGGAGAGGACGAGAGCGATCAGGGAGAGGGAGAGAGAGAGCGATCAGAGGAGAGGGAGAGAGAGGGACAGCGGAGAGGAGAGGGATCAGCGGAGAGGGAAGGGACGAGGAGAGATGCAAGCGGAGGAGGGAGAGAAGAGGCGATCAGCGGAGAGGGAGAGAGGACGGGAGAGAGATCAGACGGAGGGAGAGGGCGATCAGCGGAGAGGGAGAGAGGATGAGAGGAGGAGGATCAGCGGAGAGGGAGAGAAGGAGAGGGAGGAGCCGAGGGAGGAGAGATCAGAGAGAGGAAGGGAGAGAGAGAGGAGAGGAGATCAGAGGGAGAGAGAGCAGGGAGAGGAGAGGATCAGGAGGAGACGATAGCGGAGAGGAGGGCGATCAGCAGGAAGAGGGAGAGGAGAAGGGATCAGCGGAGAGGGAGAGAGAGCGACCGAGAGCGATCAGCAGGGAGAGGGTCAGAGAGAGGATCACGGAGAGAGAGAGAGAGGTCAGCGGAGGAGAGAGAGCGACGAGAGCGGGAGAGGAGGAGAGGTCAGGAGAGAGGGAAGAGAGCGACGAAGGGAGAGGGATCAGAGAGGAGAGAGCGATCAGCGGAGGAGAGGGGAGAGGAGAGAGCGATCAGGAGAGAGAGAGGGAAGGAGGGGAGAGAGGGATCAGCGGAGAGAGGGGAGGAGAGAGAGGGATCAGCGAGAGGGAGAGAGGCGATCAGCAGGAGAGGGAGAGAGGGATCAGCGAGAGGGAGAGAGGATCAGAGAGGGAGAGGGAGAGAGACGCGAGTAGAGGATCAGGAGGGAGAGGAGAGAGGATCAGAGGAAGCAGGGAAGGAGGAGCAGCAGGAGGGGAGGAGCGATCAGAGGAGAGGGAGAGGAAGCGAGATCAGAGGAGAGGGAAGGAGAGCGAGCGAGAGGATCAGCGAGGGAAGAGCGATCAGCGGAGAGGGAGAGAGGACGCGGATGGAGAGACGATCAGCGGAGAGGAGAGAGCGATCAGCGGAGAGGGAGAGAGCGATGCGAGGGTCAGCGGAGAGGAGAGGAGCGATCAGCGAGAGGGAGAGGAGCGATCAGCGGAGAGGGAGAGAGAGCGAGCGAGACAGCGGAGAGAGAGAGAGGGGATCAGCGGAGAGGGAGAGAGAGGGATCAGCGGAGAGGGAGAGAGAGCGACCGAGAGCGATCAGCGGAGAGGGAGAGAGAGCGATCAGCGGAGAGGGAGAGAGAGCGATCAGCGGAGAGGGAGAGAGGGCGATCAGCGGAGAGGGAGAGAGAGCGATCAGCGGAGAGGGAGAGAGAGCGATCAGCGGAGAGGGAGAGAGAGCGATCAGAGGAGAGGGAGAGAGAGCGATCAGCGGAGAGGGAGAGAGAGCGATCAGCGGAGAGGGAGAGAGAGCGATCAGCGGAGAGGGAGAGAGCGATCAGCGGAGGGGGATTTATTCCCATGGCTCTGTAGGGAAGATGAGGCTGGCTGCTTTAGACCCACCTGGGTACAAACACTATTTAAAACTTTTCAAATACTTTCAGCGTTTGCTCTAGCCTGCCTTGAGTGCCAGATGGGTGGGGTTTTGCACTTTTGGTACGATTCTATTGGTCCATGAAGCCAGGCAAACTCAATCAAGCACTTAAAAAGTTGAAATTATTTTTCAATTATTGGTGAACACAGGTCTGGCTGGCGTTACCTTGGTCTGATAGGAGAAGACAGTCACCTACTTTCTACCACGGCTGGGAGGACAACTTGGTGAACTACTAGGCAGTCTTGTTAAAATCCTACAAAAAGTGTTGTTTCTAAAATATGGGCCAATGAATGAATCCCTGTGTGGGATAAAAGGGTTTCACATATATAATACGGGTCGTCTTCACTAGGAACCAAACAGGCTTAAATGGGAAGGGACCTGCCGGAATTTGTCTAATCAGAAAAGCATGTTTTCACTTAACGCTGCAAAGCTTTTTTTCTACGGTGACACTAATGAATGTCAGTCCGTTTTCTCTGTCCTGAACAGAACTTGTTCACCTTCTCCGATGGACTGAGTTCATTACATCACTATGGATGTGATAGAGCAGGGCGGACATTCAAATGAGCCAGCAGTTCTAATCAATAACAGCCATACAAACATAACCAATAGTCTAGGACTAGCCTACTGACAGATGGCTTCAGGAACGAGCCAATAGCCTAGCCTACTGACAGATGGCTTCAGGAACGAGCCAATAGCCTAGCCTACTGACAGATGGCTTCAGGAACGAGCCAATAGCCTAGCCTACTGACTGATGGCTTCAGGAACGAGCCAATAGCCTAGCCTACTGACAGATGGCTTCAGGAACGAGCCAATAGTCTAGCCTACTGACAGATGGCTTCAGGAACGAGCCAATAGCCTAGCCTACTGACAGATGGCTTCAGGAACGAGCCAATAGACTAGCCTACTGACAGATGGCTTCAGGAACGAGCCAATAGCCTAGCCTACTGACAGATGGCTTCAGGAATGAAAAGCAAACCAAAACACATGCTCCATTAAAACTTGTGCCCATTTCTTGTGGACATGTCACCATGTCCGGTTGACTCAGATATTAATTAGAACTGTCAATTCAAGAAACAGGCTTAGAGGACATGACTGCAGAGTCTAGGTCAACTCACTCAGGGCTTATCTCTGGTGAAACAGGCTTAGAGGACATGACTGCAGAATCTAGGTCAACTCACTCAGGGCTTATCTCTGGTGAAACAGGCTTAGAGGACATGACTGCAGAGTCTAGGTCAACTCACTCAGGGCTTATCTCTGGTGAAACAGGCTTAGAGGACATGACTGCAGAATCTAGGTCAACTCACTCAGGAGCTCAGGGCTCATCTCTGGTGAACTTAATTTATACTGAACAAAAATATAAACGCAACATGTAGTGTTGGTCTCATGTTTCATCTGAAATAAAAGATCCCAGAAATGTTCCATACGCAGAAAAAGCTGATTTCTCACAAATGTTGTGCACACATGTGTTTACATCCCTGTTGTGGTATGGTGGTATTATATTATCCATGTTGTATTGTAGATATGTAGTGGTGTAATAATGCTATATGGTGGTATTATATTATCCATGTTGTATTGTAGATATGTAGTGGTGTAATAATGGTATATGGTGGTATTATATTATCCATGTTGTATTGTAGATATGTAGTGGTGTAATAATGCTACATGATGTACTGTTTTATATTCTGTTTTATATGTAATGTAAGTGCTTTAATACGTTTGGACCCCCAGGAAGAGTAGCTTACCTTGGCAGCAGCTAATGGGGATCCCTAATAAATACAGCAACAGGACAGAATACAACTACATTCTATCCTGACACGGCCTGCTGCATAGAATACAAGTAGCTAAATGTTTATCATGTGCACACTAAGAGAAAGACAGACCAAAGAAAGACCATTCAACCAAGTTTATTTCTAACATTAAGAGTCTGAAATGTCTATTTCTCCCCCTGCGGCTGGTCCGGCATACTCCTGATGATGTCTGAATCACCTGTTGAGAGAACAATATTACATTTAGCATTACAAGACATACTTCAAACCAACCAAGCTTTAGTTTGACAGTGTAAAAGAAGAACTAAGTAATTGTCACTAATGAAGCAGGAAGTAACTGGCTAGAGGCCAGTCGGTTCAGGTGTTAATCTAGTGAATCACTAGTTCTGGTCAGATCACCATAGATCCACCAGGTGCAAACATTTACAAAATGTAAGCAGCAGTGAGACAAAAAATATATCTACACATTCACAAGTACAACGTTATTAAAATCAGACATGCTCATGTAATGTAGTAGTGAGCAGTTTTATCATTCTCAGATCTTCATGTCATCTTTGAAAACAATGATAAATGTATGAATGAAAAATAAACCGTCTCCAACTGCTCACTACTAAAGGATTGTCCAACTCTGCAGACAACAGAATGGCCGTGGTAAACAGGACACCCAGACACTCACCGGGGTCGATGATGGCCAGTGTGCACACCCTGAAGTACTTTCCGCAGGCTGTGCCCAGCTCGATGTTGTTCCCGCTGTAGTGATGGACGCCAGTCTTGGCCAACATGGCATAGTACTCCACTTCAGACTTCCTGAGGAGCCAGAAATACCTTTTAGCAAAGCGTGACCGCAGGAAACGCAGGCAGCAACATTCTGAACAAACAATTCAAGTTTATATGTGTTACCATTCAATGAAACGTGATCCCTGTCTGTGCGAGGGGGAAGCAACATGAGTACAAGCTACACTGCAATGTAACAGTGATCCACATCAGTCTAATGATGTAGTTTAGGATGTTCTCAAGGTTGTCCGATTGCTGAACGACCAACTGCAGTTGCAGCCAGTAACACAAAAATCAGCACTCATTTTAATATTCCTCCGGTTCTTACACACCTGCAAGCAGACCAATACAGGTGTGCCTTTGTGGGAGGACTACATAAAACATAACCTAATGTAATATAATGCGCCATTTAGCAGACGCTTTTATCCAAAGCGACTTACAGTCATGCGTGCATACATTTTTACGTATGGGTGGTCCCGGGGATCGAACCCACTACCCTGGCGTTACAAGCGCCGTGCTCTACAAGCTGAGCTACAGAGGACCACAAAATGTACCCATAAGAACGCAGAAGCAACACTTGATGTGCTTATTTGGTCAAGTCAATGTGAATTCTTCAATATCTAACTACTTGAAAGGTTTATTGAAGTAGGAATGGAACTGCGTCTGGGATTACAGCAGGGTTGGGTAGGTTACTTTCTACATGGAAAACATTACAGGTTCTTTATTTTAAATCGGTGACTTAACTTGGAGTAACCAAACTCAGTAATGTCATCTGATTCCTTTCAGTTACTGTTGGATGACTTTCCCCTTAAGAGGCATTACAAGAAGACAAAGGATCCATCAAACGCATTTGGTGTCATCATAGTGGTCTCTGATTGGTGGTCATCATTTGGTGTGTCATCATAGTGGTTTCTGATTGGTGGTCATCATAGTGGTCTCTGATTGGTGGTCATCATTTGGTGTGTCATCATAGTGGTCTCTGATTGGTGGTCATCATTTGGTGTGTCATCATAGTGGTTTCTGATTGGTGGTCATCATAGTGGTCTCTGATTGGTGGTCATCATTTAGTGTGTCATCATAGTGGTCTCTGATTGGTGGTCATCATTTGGTGTGTCATCATAGTGGTCTCTGATTGGTGGTCATCATAGTGGTCTCTGACTGGTGGTCATCATTTGATGTCATCATAGTGGTCTCTGATTGGTGTGTCATCATAGTGGTCTGATTGGTGGTCATCATTTGGTGTGTCATCATAGTGGTCTCTGATTGGTGGTCATCATAGTGGTCTCTGACTGGTGGTCATCATTTGGTGTCATCATTATATAGAAATATAAATCCCTCTACTTTCATATTTTAGCAGATGCTCTTATCCAGAGCGACTTACAGTTAGTGAGTGCATACATTTTCATACTGGCCCCCCGTGGGAATCGAACCCACAGCCCTGGCATTGCAAGCGCCATGCTCTACCAACTGAGCTACACGGGGCCATATCACATCAAAATAATTTCACAAATACAAAATACACATGTACTGTACACTGTTTTAACAGTTGCAGCCGACAGTATTTTTTAGTGACAACACGTTTATGGCGTCTGTCTTTCGTTGACACACAAGTGTTCGGAGACGTAGATCGCTAATTAGTACAGCTAATTAACCCTTAACGCTAGGAACCAGATGTGGAGGCACCTACATGAATTTGTCCAATAATAACTTGTTTCATTTGCACAACGTTTTCCATTTGGAGTAAACGGTTTCCATTGCAAAACGTTTTGCAACAGTATTCGACTAATGAATACATCCCTGGCGAGCACAGTAAAACTTCAGCTCACCAAGTTAGAGTGAAAAGGGTACTAGTGATAATGCCTTCACTTCATTAGCTAATACTAAATAACATGCAGGCCTTAGTTACCTGAGGGCAGGTGTGTTGTTGGCCAGGATGACCAGCTTGGCTTTGCCCTGGCGGATCATCTTCTGAGACTGCTTGTATCCCAGAACGTATTTACCGCTCTTCATCACCAGCTGGAGACGGGAGTTGATGGACTCCAGGGACTTTTTCTGCCATTAAAAGAAACAAATTATGTTTAGTGAGAAACATTGATGGGATATGAATGTAGCCCATATCCATTGGTCCAAAACATGATATATGGTCTTCTAATTGAGATACATTTAACTAGGGCTGTCACAATTCCCATTACCACCATGTAACCAACGGTTATGGATGAAGACCGCCATGGTAATAAAAACAACATAACCTTTTAAAAATATATATTTGTTTTTCTTAAAATGAACAGCTGTCCGTTTCTGCTGTAACATGCACTGTTGCTCCTTGTTGAAACTAGCAAAACGAGTCTTTGGTTGCCTAGGCAACGCTCCCCACAATGCAGCAGCGCACAGAAACAGAATGAATAGAACAGGCTTGGAACATCTAACCCTGGCAATTTGACTAGTGAACTCATGGGTACACTCGCAATGGCTGCCTGGTATTGTGATGAAATCATTTTCATGGTAATGTAGAAAGTTAATTAAAATGTTAACTGATATGGCTCATGCAAATACAAAATGTATTTTTTGTAATATTCGTTTAGTTGAATCAAATCACAACACATCTTGATGGGTACACTTCCTGCTTTGCACCTATGGGGTACACTCGCAATGGCCGCCAGTTCACCCATAATGCCATCAATGTTAACATTATCGACTTGTCTGTAAAAACGTGTAACCTGCTCCGGTACGTTGATGATACTGTTGTGTATTAATGCCATTGACCTGTTTAACTACAGCCTGCCTTCCCTGTATTACAGAAACACCTTTGACTTTAAATTAGTACTGAATGCAGGTAAAACTAAGTTGATGTTCTCTAGAGTGCATAAAAATAACTGATGATTTAAGCATGTGTCCTTAAGATGCTGTTCATATTGTCCCTGCTTACAAATATCTGGAGAGATGAAAAGCTGTCTTTTATAAAGCATATTGACGAGTTAGTTAAGAAGCTGAGAATTAAAATGGGCTTCTATAGAAACAGGTCCCGCCTCTCGATAAATAGTAGAAAGCAGATTATTCAGTCGACGTTTCGGTCGGTCCGAGACTATGGCGACGTCATCTCTATGAACGCAGCAGCCACTTCATTAACGCCGTTAGATGCAGTTTATCAGAGCTCTGTGCTTTATTACGGATGACAGGTTTGGTACTCATCACTGTATTCTCTACCAGGAAGTTGGTTGGCCCTCTGAGGTCACGTAGGTTGATACATTGCCGTGTTCATTTATAAAGCCCTTTTACAAAAAGTCCCACTGTACCTAACATCTTTACTAAACTTATGACATGAGTTACCACACCCGGTCTTAGCGATGGCTAACTCTGGACATTCCTTTGGTCTCTACTGAATTAACTCAAAGCGGATTTACCTTTCTTGCACCATATTTATGTGTAACAATCTTCTAAAATGTTCTTACATTAGACGTTTTGTTGCTTCAAGGGTAATTCAGGAAGTTGATTGAGAACCTTTTTACTGATGAATGTTTTTTTTTAATGACATTGTTTATTTCTGTTTGTATTTATATTTTCACGTGTGTATTTTCTGTAATTTGTAAAAGAGACCTTGGTCGCAGTATGACTCCCTGATAAAATAGGTGAAATAAATCAAACAAAAATGACTTGAATGGGGATTCCCGTTCTATTTCTATGGCAGCACATGCAGGTCAGGAGTGAAGGAGATAAAATGGCTATTACGAGACCGCGGTCATCTGGCTGGCCAATTACCACCATCCAAAATGACATGACAGTCACAAACCTATCTAGTTAAGTGGATTGATCAGATATAATACTTCAGATGACAGTGCTGTTACATGGTGTTTGTTGATTAGCCAACTATAATGCAATCAGTCCCATCGGGCGGCGCACAATTGGCCCGGCGTCGTCCGGGTTTGGCCGCTGTAGGCCGTCATTGTAAATAAGAATTTGTTCTTAACTGACTTGCCAAGTTAAATAAAGGTTAAATAAACAAATAAATAATTCAACTTGCTGTCTGGCTAAATAGCTAACGTTAACTAGCTAGCTAGTTGGCAAGCCGGTGATGGTTAATATAGCACTTGCTATCTGGATAGGGCAAATTGGCAACAACTAAAACTAGACATGTCCAGGAAGTACAACATTGTATGTTGGGGCAAGTTACAAACAGATATGTACGGGCAACATTGACCGTTTATAAAACCGTGTAAACACGAGGCCAGATAGCGCCACGATTCCACCATGCATGCGTTCACGACAGCTCGACTCACCGTCTTCTTTGCGGCCACCATAGCTGCGATTTAGTCCGTTTGGCAAACCTGAACAAAACATTTGAGATTGGACAATCTTACGTTAGTAATCACCCGGGTGATGTGCACCAAAATGGCCTAAATATATTTATTTTAAAGAATAAACAAAGAGCTGAACTTACAAGTCTGTCGTTCCAATATGGCCTCGGAAAGAAAGGAAGTCCCAGCGTGCTTTGCGGCCCTTCGGCCTGGGGTGGTCCTGCGCAGATTGGCTGATCTTCTTCTTCGATTAGGTTTAAAAGCGGTTGGCATCCAATAAATGTTGCATTACCGCCACCTACTTCACTGGAGTATAACTCCCTTATACTTTGCTTTAAAAAAATGTATTAATAAAACAATTATAATAATACTAATACCCTACCATCTAACACTACACTCACAAAACACACCAAATAATAATAAATACCATACTCCACTATTTAAATCAATTTATTCCGACTTGGGACACCACCGACTTGGGACACCACCACTTAACACACCCTGTAACTCTTCTGATGTCAAGTCTCGTGTAACCACCGCTGTACTGCACGGCTGTATCTCTGCGTTCTGTGTGATTGATTGGGACTATAGACGTGGACTTCGGAGATCAGGCTGTTTTAATGAATCAGAATTCTCTCTGCGTCCAAAAGAAAATACAAAACATTTGTACAGCACAAATATGTTCTGGCCATTGTCGCCTCTTTCTACAACACAGACGCACAACACAAAGGACTGGGATCAGTGGAGGAGCCTAGCCATCGTTCACACAGACAATACCTTAGCTAGCTAGTAACCACATGTTGAACTGAACTGGGATCAGTGGAGGAGCCTAGCCATCGTTCACACATACAATACCTTAGCTAGCTAGTAACCACATGTTGAACTGAACTGGGATCAGTGGAGGAGCCTAGCCATCCTTCACACATACAATACCTTAGCTAGCTAGTAACCACATGTTGAACTGAACTGGGATCAGTGGAGGAGCCTAGCCATCCTTCACACATACAATACCTTAGCTAGCTAGTAACCACATGTTGAACTGAACTGGGATCAGTGGAGGAGCCTAGCCATCGTTCACACATACAATACCTTAGCTAGCTAGTAACCACATGTTGAACTGAACTGGGATCAGTGGAGGAGCCTAGCCATCCTTCACACATACAATACCTTAGCTAGCTAGTAACCACATGTTGAACTGAACTGGGATCAGTGGAGGAGCCTAGCCATCCTTCACACATACAATACCTTAGCTAGCTAGTAACCACATGTTGAACTGAACTGGGATCAGTGGAGGAGCCTAGCCATCGTTCACACATACAATACCTTAGCTAGCTAGTAACCACATGTTGAACTGAACTGGGATCAGTGGAGGAGCCTAGCCATCCTTCACACATACAATACCTTAGCTAGCTAGTAACCACATGTTGAACTGAACTGGGATCAGTGGAGGAGCCTAGCCATCGTTCACACATACAATACCTTAGCTAGCTAGTAACCACATGTTGAATTCACAATGTTAATATCATCCTAAAAAGTACAATTACAATTGCATCTTAACAATACCATCCACTCATGGGTAAACTCTAAATATACAACATTATTCATGAACAAAACACTGTGTGTCATGACTTTGTGCTTGAAGGAATCTAACTTTCCTAAAGCCGACAGAAAAGGCGTGCCTACCTCTCATAGTGCATCAAAATGATTTCAGCACGAGCAGGCAGGGCAAAACATAAGGACACACTCCCCTATTCCCAGGAAGCAGACATGCATCATAACAAATCAACATGCTATATTAATATATGAACATGGTGAAATTCACAAAGTACTTTAACAACTGTTACACTCGCACACCCAAATACCTCTCTGCAGCTGCCACCACAACCTCTATTTTCTTCAACTTACGCTCCATCCCTGCAGTACAGTTGATAACCATTGCTATAAATGCCAAAAATCCAATCTTACTGAAATAGAAATATATATAACTTGTTGGTCTATCCCTCTGTACTGGTACAGATCTACTACTCTCACCACTCCTCCCCCTTGACCCATCTTCCTCTACTTTCTTCACTGCCTCAGCATATGACAACTACTACACTACTCTAACCCTGGAAACCTCAACCTTCCTCTCTCGCATGGGACATTTCTGATCCCCAGCCCCATGGGCACCCCTGCAATTAACACATACCACTACTTTCCCCAATGCTACACATTCCTTTGTCTCATGCCCTTCTGCACACTTCTCACACCTTGGAACCTCCCTCCTACTGCTGCCACATGCCTATAAGTTTGACACCTGTAACAATGTAATGTATTCGGCACAAAAGCTCATACAGGATAACTTATATATCCTAACATCACTTTGTTGGGCAAAGACTCAACATCAAAAAACAAAAGGACAGACAATGACTCTTATGGTTCACCACTCACACCACCCTGTCTGCGTCGCACCAAATGATGAGCATCACAAACACCGGGAATCTTCCCCTTCAGTTGCTCAGCTTTCACATTTACCACTACCCCAGTAATCACTTCTTTCAATGGCGCCCTTTTCTTGAGAGCAAAACACTTTACATCTCTTGTCCCCATTGGTTTAACACAGAGCGCCTGGTCCCTCTGACCAACAGAAACACAAACAATTATCACAAGACCCCTTCTGGTTACCCTCACCAATTCCATAGCACCCAACTCTGTTTTCACCCACCCTGAAACCACAAATGGATCAGCCAAAAGACAAGGGTCCACTTCTTCCCAAAACTTCACTCCTGCTGTCACAGACTCATCTTTATCCTGACCCTCGGTGCAAGCCTCGGGCTCTGAGCACTTCACCACACCTACCACCTCCGATACTTCGCCCTCATTCACTTCCCACTTGTAAATCAGCCAGATTCGCTGATCTCTGCAGATTGCGGATAAAATAAAACAAGTGTGCACCAGTTGAGGTGATTTGTAGATCAGATAATTTACGTCGCGCCCTGCTCAGCCGGAGCATGTTATCGCGAGAAAGCAAGGCCCAAAACACTACGGATCTAGGAACAGTTTTTATAATGGCAAGTGTGATTTTTACCAACCGGAGGACAAACACAAAACTAATCCTGTTCTGCTTTTAGAGGCTGTTTTTATGCAATGAATCAACCACACATGCACAACCCTGGAGCTCCACGGGGTGACGCTGTTGTCTCTATTCTGCAAAATAACTTTATTATTTGAACAAAATATTTGATAGTATGGAACTTGATAAAGAATTGTTTTTCCAAACACCGAACCATTCAGAAGTCAAATATGTATTCCATATTTTCTATAAAATGTCACACATTTACTTTACTATATGCATCCTAATTTGTTGAATAAATAGCCTATCCATTCATATTTTCCACCCTTTAACAATGAAGAATACAATACTGTGCATTCTGAAGGTCTTATAACTATTATTATGAGAATAATGTAAATTCCATAAATGCATAGTACTATGGTTTTCCAGCTATAGTGACGTGGCTTCAGTTGTTCACGCACACTCCAGAACGCTCCTTCTCTGATCGCATACACTGAATAATGTAGTTGTCTGTTCTCCGATGGGGTACTGAAACACACAGCGAGCAGGCTATAGCCCAGTATCTACGCTATGCAGGCATCACACTGGTGGTAACCTGCTGCTGCCACAACAAGCCGTGGCCCCGGTGGATTTAAAACGAGGCATGCGCAAATATGCAATTGTGGAGACCAGTGAAATTACTATATAACCTGCAGTCCTTTCGATTTGAATAGTATCTATGCCCGTGATAAGAGCAACAGACGGCTCTCTGTGGATCTAATTGGCATCCTCTTCAGTCGTCTATGTGAGACAAACAGGATGGGCTGTTCCACGAGTACCCAGACCACAGCGCAGGACAGCGCCAGACAGCCCAGCTTTAAACCCGAGGAAAGCAATGGAACCAGCACCACAGGTGAGTCCAAATACTACAATGTCATTAGATTATTCATAAAACATCCTTGTATTGTTGACACGTCATTTTGATGACATAAAAATGACCATTTTGTCCCTCAATTCTGTTATTATCTACAGTCCCTTCAGAAAGTTATTCACACTCCTTGACTTTTTCCACATTTTGTTACTTTACAGCCTGAATTAAAAATAGATTCAATTGAGATTTAGTGTAACTGGCCTACACACAATACCCCATAATGTTAAAGTGGAATTATGTTTTTAGAGATTTTTATAAATTAATAAAAAATTAAAAGCTGAAATGTCTTCAGTCAACAAGTATTCAACCCCTTTGTTATGGCAAGCCTAAATAAGTTCAGGAGTAAACATTTGCTTAACAAGTCACATAATAAGTTGCATGGACTCACTCTGTGTGCAGTAATAGTGTTTAACATGATTTTTGAATGACTGCCTCATCTCTCTGTACCCCACACATACAATTATCTGTAAGGTCCCTCAGTCGAACAGTGAATAAAAAATACATTTAAAAAAGCAGATATTGAATATCCCTTTGAGCATGGTGAAGTTATTAATTACACTGTGGATGGTGTATCAATACACCCAGTCACTACAAAGATACAGGCGTCCTTCCTAACTCATATGCCGGAGAGGAAGGAAACCGCTCAGGGATTTTACCATGAGGCTAATGGTGACTTTAAAACAGTTACAGAGTTTAATGGCTGTGATAGGAGAAAACTGAGGATGGATCAACAACATTGTAGTTACTCCACAATACTAACCTAAATGACAGAGTGAAAAGAAGGAAGCCCGTACAGAATACAAATATTCTAAATACAGTGCATTCGGAAAGTATTCAGACCCCTTTACTTTTTCCACATTTTGTTACGTTACAGCCTTATTCTAAAATGGATTTTTTTTTTTTTATCCTCATCGATCTACACTCAATATCCCATCATGACAAAGCGAAAACAGATTTTTAGAAAAAACATATGTATTCAGACTCTTTGCTATGAGACTCGAAATTGAGCTCAGGTGAATCCTGTTTCCATTGATCATCCTTGAGATGTTTCTACAACTTGATTGGAGTCCACCTGTGGTGAATTCAATTGATTTTCATGGAGACAGGCCCCTTATATCCTAATCAGACAGCACCAAGTTTTCTGTAAACACCAGCCTCTTGGTACCAAATGTTCTGTAAACACCAGCCTCTGGGTACCAAATGTTCTGT